GTGGTCTCTTCCAACTCTATGATTCTATGATTCTATGATTCTAAGGCCTCCTTGCCATAGAAATCCAGGACACTTTTGGACCTGGAGCCACCACAGGGCCTTGGGCTGACCCTTTATTATTATTATTATTATTATTATTATTATTATTATTATTATTATTAATTTCCTTGTTGCCTCTCCACAAGACTCCAGGCAGAGTGCATTGTGTGTTTTCAAGTCATTTCCGGCATATGGCAAACCCTAAGGCAAACCTATCATGGGGTTTCCTTGGCAGATTTGTTCAGAGGGGGGTTGGCATTGTCTTCTCCTGAGGATGAAAGCATGTGACTTATGGCAACCCCTAAGGCAAACCTAACATGAGGTTTTCTTGGCAAGGTTTGTTCAGAAGAGGTTTGCCATTGCCTTCCCTTGAGGCTGAGAGTGTGTGACTTGCCCAAGGTCACTCAGTGGGTTTCATGGCTGAGCAGGAATCGAACCCTGGTCTCCAGAATCATAGTGCAATGCTCAAACCTCTGTGCCACTCTGGCTCTCTGCTGGCTCAAAGCAGGTTACATGTTAAAATACAAAACACAATTTTAAAAAGAAGAAAAAGACATAAAACGAACAGTAGGGGCTGGGGCAGCACTTGGAAAAGTTAGTTTAAGAATACTACTTAATGGCTGGGGGATTCTGGGCATTAGAGTGGAAAAAAGTAACTGTTTAAAGCTCTAGGGCTAGGCTGTGTGTGTGTGTTGTGTGTTTAAGTAAGGAAGATGGTTAGTCTCTTGAGACCTCATAGCTTTTGCCAATACAGACTGAGTCTCCTATGTATCCCTATATATTACTTACCACCTTTCCCCATGGATAGAGGTGGGGGGGACAACAACAACTGAGAGACAAATAACATCAGTTAAAACATACATCAGTTTAAAAGGACAAATAAGATGTACACATATTAAAACAATCCACATCTAAAATTCATCATTTAAAATTCACAGTTTAAAAATAATCTGGATAAGCCTGCCCCCCCAAAATTGTTCTCACATATAAGCCTAAATCCTGTTCTTCTCTTGACTGAAAAGACCTGGTGAATCAATGGGATTTACCCATGTGTTGAATGGGTAAATTTGGCAGTTGAATGGGACTATGCTAGTTGGGATTAACCAACAAGATGCTGGCTATGCCTCCACTTCTGTGTTTCTTCTGGAAGTTACTTGTAGCAGGTTAATCACAGGCATATCTGTTCAGATCCATGGAGTTCAGTGGGCTTTATGTGCGGTTACACATGTCTGTGTGTAAGGTACTGAAACTTCAGTTGACTTCCACCAAAAACCAAATAACACACCTTCCAAAAGAGATCACTCTTGAGAGTACTAATCTGCCAATATTTACCTTTTAAAATCCTGCAGCCACCTCTGCACAAACAGGTGTGTTTAAGTATGGTCAGGATCTTTAATAAATGTTTACATGTGGGGTAATGTGGTTACACAGAAGTGGAGTCACACCCACACTTTTCTGGAGGAAGTTGTATCTCTCCTTGTATTAATCAGAGAGTTAGTTATATTGTTAGTTAATTGGGGAGAGGGTACTATTTACCACAATTACTCCATTTCCCTTTCTTGGGAAATAGCAAGTGATAATTTAGTATAGCATATATGTTACTATTACTAGGTAAACTTAGATGGTAATCTATAGTCTCTCTCTAACACATCAGGAAATTCTGTGGCTGAAGAAGGAGTTCTTGAACACCACCAAATCTTTAGAGACTCCAGTGAACAGCTGCATTACAATGACTGAACAAGTTGGATACTTACATCTTTGGCTACAGTTGTGACCAAAGTTTTGTGTCTCAATATAATAGCAAAGCTAGAATGTAGGTACTACAAAATGTTCGCTTTCCACATATTTAAAGCTTCAACATAGTTATCATGGACTATAGTTTTTTAGTCTCATTTCCATGTGAACCATGATATATTCTCTCTCTATGTTCATACATTTATGTACTAACCCACCAAAAATCACTGTTAAAATATCTCATGACTATTCAATGAAAACTTTTGACCTAGCGCCTTTGCAGACTGCCAGAAATAGTGCAAATTGAGTCCACTTTAAGGGTTAGGGTTAGGGGAATCATGGGAACTGTAGTTTATTGTGGCACCAGAGCTCTCTGACAGAGAAGGCTCAATGTCTCAGAAAAAAACAAAAACAATTCCCATGACTCCCTAGCATTGACCCTAACCCTTAAAGTGGACTCAATTTGCACCATTTCTGGCAGTCTGCAAAGGCCCATAGTATGGTAAATGTATTAGTCTTTAATGTGTCACAAGACTTTTCATTCCCACCCTTCTGCTCTGGTTATAGTATTCTCTCACACTTATTTATGGGCTCAGAAGACATTATCCCATGATTTTTATAACAGTAATTGAATGTATGTATAAATGCAAACAATCTTTCCATAATCACAATCTATTTAATTAATTAATTTCCCATCCCTTGTTTTATCTCAATAATACAATCAATTCAAATGTGCATACCATATAGAAATCATTATCTTGCCATAAGCTAACCAATGTGAAACATGTCCAGTTCATACAAACTGTTAAATGCATAATGTGTTCTCTATTTCTTATATATTCTTTGCACTTTTCGTTCACCTGATATGTGATCTTCTTAAACTGACCCTCACAAATGGGACAGAAGAATAGCAGTGGCCAAGACTCTACTAACCTTAATACTGTATTTTTGCTGTGGTTTAATGTGTATTGTACTATATGAGAGATCCTAAACAGGTTCTATGACCACCACCTACTGGACAATGAACTAGTTACAACTCCAGGATGTATATACTGTATACTGTTCCACAGACCAGTAGCCCATAAAATGACAGGTGGAAAACCTCACAACAACAAACAAACTAAAACATCCATCTACTCCCTGCCTTGCAAAATACCATTCAGAGGAAAATTATTGTGCCCAGATGAGGCAACAGTAGTTGTTGTTGCAGGTTCAATTCCTACACAGATAATTTGTTCAGGAAATGAAAGATATAGCCGTGTTACTCTGTAGAATCAGTATATAGGGAGATCTTATAGCACCTTTGAGATTAACTGAAAGAAAGAATCCAATTTCTTTCTTTCAGTCTCAAAGGTGCTACAAGATCTCTCTACATATGTTCAGGAAAGACATGCTAACAGAAGGTGGAACTGATGGGAGTAGAAATTCAGCATAATTTGGAGAGTTACACATTCCCACTAAATCAGCAGAGGACAAAGGTATTGTAGAGTAAGTGAATATAGCAGATAGTAAGATAAGTGTCATGTATATGGCCAGCGGAAAGAGACTTGTACAAAGAGTATGTTTCATTGCACATGCCTCTTTTCACCTGTGAAACTTTGGAAAAGTATAATCAACATGACATTTTTGCTGCACAACTGTCATTGAAACTAGCTGTCTAGAATCCCCATTTTGGGTTTAGGATTAAGAGATATTTGGACTGTGTCCATCATGTTACTGGAACAGGATGGCATTTTTCCATGTGTCTATGACATTCAAGCCCTGAGCAGCAGCATTCAAGATCTATTTTATAGAGTAATGTCCAATAGGACTCACATCACAAAGAGTCCTTTGTGTCAGACATATGTGGTGGAGTTTTTACTCCAAGAGTACTGGCACTTTACAAAAGAAAAATCTGCTAGTCTTTGACACAAGGCAAAGATAAGCTCTTTAGAAGACCATGTGAATTTTAGTGGAAAGATATTCACATGCAAGACTTAATTCTTTATATAGAAAACTGCAAGCAATACAAACAGATAGCCTTAAATCAGAGTCATCCACAATAAATACTTTCTCCTTTTTGATGTTGAATATGTTTATTATAGGTTAGTTCTGCCAGATAAATAGAGCACATTACTATGATGGGCTTGATATTGTAACATCTGAACAAACTAGGTATGAGCTCATTCTGAAAAAAAGAGTTAATGCTGCTTCAGGAGCTTATACAAAAGATGGCTTGTATGTGGCTGAGTTGCTCCCTTTAAAAGAAAAAAGAAAGAAAAATAAACCCAAATCATACTAAGTTTTTCAGTACCATGTTGTGATTTCCTCCCACTTTTTCTAGTATTTAAATGATGCTTGGTAAAGTGGAAGGCAGAGAGCCACTGTGGTGCAGTGGTTTGAGCGCTGGACTATGACTGGAGACTAGGCATCAATTCCCTGCTCAGCCAAGGAAACCCATTGTGTGACCTTGGGCAAGTCACACTCTCTCAGCCTCAGAGGATGGCAATGGCAAGCCTCCTTTGAAGATACTTGCCAAGAAAACCCCATGATAGGTTTGCCTTAGGGTCACCATAAATCAGAATGACTTGAAGGGAAACAACACACACAACAGAAAGTGGAAGGCAGGAGAAAAAGAGGAAGATTGCAGTAAAGGTGGATTGATTAAATCAATCAAGGATGCCATGGTCCTAAGTTTGCAAGACCTGAGCCGGGCAGTTGATGAACAGGGCTCTTGGAAATCTCTCCTTCACAGAGTCATCATAAGTCAGAGTTGACTTGATGGTGAATAACAAGAATATTTTACTTGATTATGAGGAACATGGGCCTCCAGGTGTTGCTAGAGTCAATCTTTTACCAACCCTACCCTATCATGAGTGATAGTGGGAGTTCAGTAATATCTGGAGAACAACGTTTCCCATCCTGTTCTAGTTCATTCTAATTAAAAAAAATTCTTCCTGAAAATCTGGGAGTTCATATAACTCGGAGACCACTATGTATAAAAGGAGAAAAGCTAAACAACAAAAATATGTAGAATATAGTAGAAGTACACAGCGTACATAGTATTATTTACAGTTTTAGAGCACAGAATGCTAATCTACTCCCCATAAGAATTGGAGAGAGGCAATAAATAAATGGGAATTTGCTAATTGCCTACTAACTCAAAATGCTTATATACCATGCAACTGGCAATGCCCTTGGAGTGGTTTATAAATATAAAAACGAGGACAGACAATAATAATCACAAATATTACACGAAGAGCTGGCAAGACAAATGAAACAGACTCAAGATGTTAACATGTTGGAACATGAGCATGTGAAAATAATGTTAACACCACCAACTGGCACCACCAACTAAATTGGACGCTGCTGGTTTAGATGACTTTAAAAAGCAGTTGGAAAATTTATGGAGGTTAAAATTATCAATGTCCATAATTCTGAGTGTAGGCTGCCTTCAAGATCAGAAGGGGTATGTCTTTGCATTATTAGTATCTACTGAATGAGAGGAAGAGAGAGTTACTGCCATCGCATCCTGCCTGTGGGCTTCTTAATTCCCTTAGGTATCTGGTTGGTCACTGCAGGAAACAGGATGTTTTACTAAACAGGCCTTTGATTTGATCCAGCCAGACTTTTCTTAGGTTCTTCACACTGTTCTGTTTGTACTCTGGTCCCCACATGCAATGGAGATATTGCAAAGTGATTTATAAGGACATTATTTTATACAATGTTATGAAGCACAGGCCATTTGACATTTCCTAAGTGCAAATAACCATAG